CCCTACACAAGTTACTGAAGCTTTTGTTTTATGTCAAACACATCAGATGATAGTCAATGTTTACATTATTATTAATACTGTGGAAAAAGACATCATACCAAAACTTTTGTATGTCAAAAGTCATAGTCATACCACCTTAAAAGAATAAAAGCTTTCTAAATTTTAATGGAAAACTTTTGTATTCTCTCTGGATATAGAGAAAAATGAAGGGGTACAGTCCAATCCACTATTTGAGAAGTTCAAGATAAGCTGAAGTATTTTATTACCCATACAACTAGAAAAATAAAAACTATGGAAAATGAAAGACTTTATACAAAGCACAAAATATGGAGGGCAAATTTAAAAATTAGTAGCTGAAACTACATAAATCATTTTAAACAGTGGAACAACAACAAAAATAACGAAGTTCCACATCAATCTGCAAATTGGAGGAAACTGCTTATATCACACACAAGAGATAAAAATCACAGAATTTATAAATACCTTTTGCAAATTAAAACAAACAATAAACCAACAAATGCAGTAATGTGGGCAAGGTTGTATACAAAGTTATTTAAATAATGCAAACAAAATTTATTAAAGAATTATTTTATTTAAATTTATTTATTTATTTATTTATTTAAATTTGACCAGAGAAGGGCAGTATAAGAGAGGAGAGAGAGAGAAAGCAAGAAAGTAAGCCACCAGGTGCAGGACTCGATCCACGGTTGGCCATGTGGGAGTTCAGTGCCCTTAACCACCACACCACCTACTGGTCCCATACATACAAAATTTAAAGAAAACAATATAAACAAAAATGATATAAACCATTAGTACCAGAAAACTAAAATGACCAATAAACGTAAAAACATTGAATATAAAAATTTTTAATTAGATTTTTGCCTACTAGATTTACAAAAAATTAAAAGACTAACAATATCAGGGACCAGCAGTTAGCGTAATGGCTATGTCGCTGGACTCCTACGTAGTCGACCGCTGTTCGCGTCCCAGACCCGGTGGCTTAAACTCATGCCAGGAGCGTGTGTGTGCGTGCCCAAGATCCCAAGAGGAGAATGGAGGAGAAGGGATTGCAGCGTGGTCATCTCCCCTGGGGGGGTGATTTCTCGCTTTCTGTCTCTCTGTCTCTCTCTGTCTGTCTGGTGAGCACATGCACCCTATAGCAAAAAAAACTCTCAAAATAAAAAAAGAAAAGAAAAGAAAAAAAAAGACTAACAATATCAAATACTTGTGAGAGTGAGGAGAAAGACTTACATACTAGTGGTAAGAGTATAAGTTGGTAGGCATTATTTGAAAGTAATTTGATAAGATTTAAAGTACATACACTCTTCAGCTCAAAAACTTGCTTTTAAATATGTCCTACAAATATTGACATGTGCTAGAAAAGACATATTCATTGAAAGATTGTTGAGTTAGTTCATGGCCTGGTGTTTAAAACAGCTGGAGCTCATCTGGCTGACTATCTGGTTTGAGTCTTGGACCTGGTGACTCAGAAAAACATGCCAGGCACATGTGTATGCGTGACCAAAATCCCAAAAGGAGAAGAAGGGATTGCAGCACGACCATGCCCCATGGGAGGGTGCTTTCTTGTTTTCCCTCTATCCTCCTTTCTCTCTGGAAAGTGTACACAACCTCTAGAAAATATATTTTTTAAAAAAAAAAGAAAGAAAAAGAGAAACATTTGCAATATCAAAAAGTTAGAAATAATCTAAATATTTATTAAGAGGAGAATGGAAAAATAAACTTTAACACACTCTAACACATTACTTATGTTGAATAATATGTGGCTATTAAAAGAAGATATTCTTGTACTAAAGATCTCTAACAAATATTAAATTAAAAATACAACTTGAAAAATACCACATCCATATCCTAATCCTAAATGTTATATATTATCCAAAGTTCTGGATATATAAATATCATGTGGACAAATATTAGAAGAGTTTTAAAAGGCACTCAAACTTCTAATAAAAATTATACTTGCAGGAAAGAATGGAGAGTGTGACATTTTAGCTTTATTATTTTTATATATGAATACAAAACAGTATCTTTCATCAGAAATTTTAAAAGCACTAATAAAATCCACGAATAACTTTTTCAAATCCTGACTTAAGCACAGATAGTTCTTTCAGTACAAAGATAAGCAAGTATAATATAATATTATAAACAGCTGAATTTGTTTCCCTTTTCCTGTCTCTTATTATCAAGTAATCAAGTAATAAATGATAAGTACTCAAAAGTAGACAATAGAAGGAAGAACGAAAACAGGATTAATGAATTAACAGTCACCATACTTGTTAGTTAAATAAATGAAAATCTTTGAAGAGTGAAATAAGTAATTTTGCTTTATTTTTCATACTTGCCAAAACAGAAATTTAAATGTGATGGCTCAGCAGTTTGACTTACATTATGAACCTATCTCTTATCATCTTTATCACCGCTCATTCACGTGAAGATTAAATCTGGGCTGGGAGGGTATAGAAGATGGTACTCGTGGGCATGCTATCTGTCAAGTGCATTACTGAGAGACAAATGTCAGCCCTCTCAACAATGAAAGGCTCCTACATGGGTAATTATCTCTCATTTATCTGAAGTAGTTTTAAGCAGACTTATTTGTAACAAACATGGCAAAATCTTAGACCTGAATTTAAAACAATGTGATTCTGGGGATAAGAACGCTTTCACTGAATGATGAATATGTTGATTCAATAGAAAGAGGAATTACTGTCAAACGCACTAGGAAATAAAAATATCATTAACACTCACTCTGACATTTCTTGGAATTGAGAGGCTAATATTGATATTTAAGATTATCTCTTCCCTGGTTAGGACCCCCACTGAAGGAGGCAGACCAGGTATAGTAATGTCCCTGATATACATACTCGTAAGAATAGAAGTTCTAAACCACCCAGGGAAAGCCAAGGGGATGTTAAAGGGCTACTGACATAGCCCACCTATGTCAATATAAGGAAAAATAACCAGCATTTAAACTTATTTATTTATTTATTTATTTATTTTTAGGTTTTTGTCATAGGGTGTGTACACTCTCCAGTGACAGAGAGAAGCAAAGTGAGAAATCGTCCCCCCGGGTGTATGATCACGCTGCAATCTTCTCTCTTCCATTCTTCTCTCAGGATTTTGGACATGCAAGCACGTGCACCTGGCATGATCTTCAAGCTGTCAGGTCTGGAATTTGAACTGCCATTCGCCGTGCGAAAGTCCAGCACCTTAACCATCACACCACCTGTTGGCCCCTAACCTCCATTATTTTAAAGGTGATGAAACTCAAGTAAAAAGCCTGTAACATATTTGCTCTAAATTATAAAGGAAATAAACAGCAGAACGAGGGTTAGATCACGAGCATCACAACACTCAGGCCTGTCCATTCTTATTTGTTTTTTCTCAGAAAATAAGCAGAACTTTTATTGTCTCTGTTGATGAGAGGGGTATCAAAAAGCACAACTGTTGCACATTTGACCTACAGGATAACTGAGCTACCAATAAAAATCTAATTCTCCCTAAGCACTACGTTTGGGTGTTTGTTTTGTTGTTAAGTTAAGCCTAACAATGCTTCAAAATGGCATCAAATTAAATAATTTTTAAAGTGCATGTTAAGGGCAAGCAGGTGGCATGGTGGTTAAGGCAACTGTGGTTCAAGTCCCAGACCTGGCGGCTTGCTTTCTCACTTTTCCTCCGCCTTTCCCTCTGATGAGTGCACATGCCTTATAGCAAATCTAGAAATAATAATAAATAAATTTAAATAAATAATTATTTGGAAAAATGTGTGTTAATAACTCATTTGATCTTCATATAAATAATTAAATGAACTAAACTATTGAATAGAGTTATCATTCCTATTTTCCTATTAAAAAAATTGGAAGCTGAGAAAGTTCAGTTTGTGATTTGGCCAAGGTCACAGAGCTAGCAAGTTGTCCTAATAAAATTCAAATAGGTCCACCCTCTTAAGTCAGTGCTTCCTTCTGCATATTCTGATACTCGAATGTCCATGATGTTCTTGACATCATGTAGTTGTGCAGTGACTAAATTTGGTATCTTAAAGAAGATATTTGCAGTCCTTTATAAAATAAATCTGTCTATCTAACAAAGTGTGCCTTTAAAAGATACACACGTGACACCACAGATTCAAAGCAAGAACTACGGGAGTGTAGGATGAGACAACCATGTGATTAGAATTGCTTTTACAGGCTGACTTAAGGTTCTTGACACAAAATATCCACCCTGATGGCCTGCAGAAATGTCTAAGAAGTTTCATTATTCATCATAATAGTAACGGTGACACAGAAACAGAGAAGGGCTCTTTTCGTATTAGCTACTTTAACCGTAACCACAACTGCTTTAAGTAGATCATTGTTTCCCACTTTATACATGAATAGGATAGAATTTAGGGAAGTGGTATTAATTTTACCACGTTTGTGCAGCTGAGGACAGAGGCAAGCCTGCCTTCAAAACCTGTTTTTTTCTGTGTTACCACTGTCCGTAATCATTTTTTTCACTTTGTTGTATTACGAAGTATTTCAAGAAAGTCCTTGTTAAACCCCAAATATGTTGCTTGAAAAATGTTTCATTCAGATTCAAAATTTTAGGTTATAATCTTGAGTTATGAGTCTTTCAAGATAATTATGACTGAGGCTGCTTGAACTTTTTTTTTTTTTTTTGAGAGGTTTTTCACTCTAGGGCGCGGGCGCCGGGCGACTTTTTGAGAGGTTTTTCACTATAGGGCGCGTGCGCTGGTCAGACAGACAGAGAGACAGA